CCTTGAACTTGAGGCAAGCCTCCTGTCTCTGTCTTTCAAGAGCTATGTTTACAAGTATGAGATACCCCATCCACTGCACATTTCTACATACATGCTCAAATGCTAGTGTGTATGTGTGTTTGTGTCTCTGTATGTTTCTGTATGTCTTCGTGTGTGTCTCCAAGTGTGTCTGTGTGTATGTCTGTCTCTAAATATGTGTATCTGTCTATATGTCTGTGTCTATGTATATCTGTGTGTATGTGTCTGTGTATATCTGTGTGTATGTGTGTCTGTGTGTCTGTGTTTATGTGTCTGTGTGTATCTGTGTTTATGTGTTTGTGTGTATCTATGTGTATGTACCTGTGTGTGCCTCTATGTGTGTGTCTCTGTGTGTGTATTATGTGTGTATGTGTCTGTGTATATGTATGTGTCTGTATATGTGTCTGTGTGTGTTTCTGTGTGTGCCTCTATGTGAGTCTCTGTGTGTATGTTTCTGTGTGCCTGTGTGTATGTATGTCTCTGTGTTGAGTCTGTGTGTTTCTATGTATGTGTGTATCTGTTTGTATATGTGTGTCTGTGTGTGTGTGCATCTCTATGTGTCTCTGTGTTTGTGTCTCTGCATGTGTGCCTCTCTGTGTGGGTGTGGGTGTCTGCATGTATGTGTCCATGTCTGAATGTGTGTGTGTGTGTGTGTGTCTGTCTGTCTGTCTGTCTGTCTGTCTGTATGCTCCTATCTTTTTCTCATGCTTTGCTCACTGGGCTCCTGGCCTCTGGCTTTCTGGAGCTACTGTTGAAATTTTTTCTGGCCAAGAGCCCACATCCTAGGCTTGGTTGGACAGTCTCCTTTGGGGCAAGGGCCTCCTGCCAGCCTTGCCTCTCTCCTTTGAGTTTCAACTCTTCTGCCCTGGTTGACCAATTACAGCTCCAAGCCTGGAGTCGGACAGACCTGTTCCCATCGAGCTCCACCACTTGGCAGGATCTTAACCAAGTCTCTTAATCTTTTTGAGCCTCTGTTTCCTCAGCTTACAAAATGTAGCCAATACCAACCTCAGGAGGTTATTGTGGGGAATCAATGAAGTAACTTAACAAGAGCGGCACCTCATCCTGAACCCGTGGTGGTCCCAGGTCACATCGGCTGCAAGTGTAAAGGGGTGAAGCAGCTTGGGAGGTTTTCTTTGGCGCCTCACCCAGCTTAAGCCTTACTCCCTATTGTTTTCATCATTATCTATCCTGTTTTTATTAAATAATGACCTAGAACCTACTTGTGTTGTAATGAACACTTACATGGCCAAGGGGATCAACATTACTAGTAATCAGAACAATGGTGATGGTAATAATGATTTGCTGCTGTAGCCCTTCCAGAAACCCAGGATACTTTGAGACCACAATGACCAGTCCAGACTGGGCTATCCCAGGCCTCACCCCGTGAGGGCTCATCTTGCCATGAGTGTGGCAGGGCTGCTCACAGCTGGTGAATAGAACGAGGACAATCTGGGTGTGCAGCTTATAATACGAGAGAGCCAGAGCTGGGGCCCAGAGAACAGGTCACAGGGCACAGAGTGGGATGCTCCCTCCCAGCCAGGGAAGTTCTACACTAACGTGTGGATTACAGTGACACAAGGGACCGGCTAGATGGCTCAGCAGATAAGGGCTTGCAGAACAAGCCTGGTGACCTGAGTTAGGTCCTCAAACCCACTTCAAAATGAACAGAATCCACAGAGTTGCCCTCTGACCTCCACACGCATGGCATACACAGGTACACACACATGCACACATGTACACACTAGTAAATTGCCAAGTTTTTTTTTTGTTAAAAGTGACACACAAGGAATTACAGTTAAGTGACAGAGACAGTCGACACCCATGGTGGTAGAGCTACTCTTCTCTGGAAAGCCTCCACTGTCAGTCAGCTCAGGGCCTCCGGCAGGACGGGAAGGATTTTCAGGAGACCGCTGGCAGGACTTCTTAACACTAAGGCTTCCCACACCCAGAACTGGCAAGCTTCTTGTGAACTCATGAGCAGCTCACAGACATGGCACATCTGGGTACGTCCAGGCCAGGGGACTCAGTCCCCCAGCCCCATGCCAGTCTGGTTGTATGTTTGGGTTTTGGGAGCCATTTGCTTATGTTGTGCTTTGGTTTATCTTTTGTTTCCTTTATGGAGGCAGGTCTCATATAGCCTAGATTGACCTCAAATTTGCTACGTAGCTGAGGCTGACCTTGAACTCTTGTTCCTTCTGCCTTCCAAGTGCTGGGGTCAGTCATGCCCCACAACTGTTACGTCTTTTTTCATGTAGGGGAGGAGATGTCAGCAGCCTGCCTATCCCCATGGCTGGACTGTGTAAATCTTTTTTCTCTTCCTCCCTTCCTTCTTTCCTTCCTTCCTTCCTTCCTTTTCTGAGGACAACCCTTTCACAAGCAAGGGCTAGGGACCCTACATGTACCTAGTTCTAGGACACCAACACATCATTAATCCCACATGTCCACGGCTCTGGATTCCCTCTTTCCTTCCCCCCCTTCTTCTCACTGTATAACTCAGGGTGTCCTAGAACTCTCTATGTAGCCCAATCTGGCCTCAACCTGGGATGATCTCCCTGCCTCTGCCTCCTGAGTGCAGGATGTTATAGGCATGTACACCATGCCCAACTAGAAACTTAGGGATCTTGATCTGAGGTCTTTCTTCCCAGTCATTCTTGGTCAGTGACCTTGGGGAAGCTCCATAACACCGCTGGGGCTCAGAGTGACCTCTAAGACCTACTATGTCCAAGAGGTTCCTTACATTCAAACCACAGTTCAGGGACACATGGCCACAATACCTCACAGCATGTCAGACATGTGCTGTCACGGGTCCCTCCAGCCCGGTGACCAAGATCCACATTTTGAAATGACTTCAGATACTCCCCATGCTCATTGAAGTCAAGAGGCACTGCCAAAGGTGACATGATTTCAAGTCCTAGGAACACTTCACAGAGACAGTTCTAAGGGTGATTGTTGCTACCATGGTGGGCCTTGATGCTACTCTCTCTTAAGCCTTTTCTGGAATGATAGGAGGTTGCTACACACTGATGTCTGTGTGCCCTCCAGATCTTCTAAGTTCTAGTTGAGAATAATACTTCCTTCATACTGAACTCACCAGCATGGGAGTAAGAGCATATAACCCTGCCTGGGCCACCCCAAGAGCAGGCTCCTCATCCTGCTCCATGGTCCTCCCTCCTATCTTCCTCAGTCCACTTGTTCACTATTCACATCCCACTAGTGGCAGTAGGAGCCGGCATCTTGCATCTACATCCTCTCTTCAACCCAGGTTTGCTTCAATGCCTCCTCTCCTCCCTTGGACAAGCTTGTCTTACTAAGGATAGTTCTAAAACCTTTCCCTGCTTCCCCCACATGCGCCCAGAGAACCCTCTTTCTTACCCATGACTCATTAAGCACTTACTAGTATAAGGCATGGTGCCAGGATGTAATTCAAATGGCCAGCACTGAACAAGACAGCCAGGGTTCCTGAGCTCCAGGAGGAACATAGTGTAAAAAAAAAATTGATACTATTGAGCACTGGCTTGAACAGCAGCTATGCTGAAAGTAGAACTATATAGAGATTAGCATCTCAGGGGAGACAAATGTCCCGCAAATTCATGAAGATCCCACACTTCTTGCTCGGCCTCCCTGTGCTCATGGTGATCCAGTCTAGCTTCCTTGGGGGTAGCCCTGAATCTCAGTGCTCCAGGGGATGCCAGTGATCTAGACTCCCTTTGCCAAGAGGTACTACCCAACTCGATTATCTGTGACGTGTGGCTCAGCCATTCTCAGGACCAGGCTGGCCCCATCCAGGCTGACTCCAACCTTGGGGTAGCCTGGGAAGCTCCCAGGGCAGGGGCTGCGGCTCCCTCCCACCAAGAGGAGAATGGAGTCAAAAAGGCATCCACAGCCACACGACTTTGGAGCAGCAGCACCGCCAAGCTGAGAACACCGGAAGGGACATGGCCCAGCTAGGTACAACTCTGGCCCTGGCCAGACACGCGTCTGCCTCCCTGGCGCACAGGGACAAGACTGGAGAGACACGCCTTGAGTTTCTGACTTCAGGCGGGTAGCCTTTCTTGGCCCCGTCTCCTAATACCATCCATCCACCCATCTGCCCGTTCACCCAAAGTTGTCACCTCCCCTCTCAGGTTCCAGGCTGCGGAGGGAGACTCTAAAGTGGGTGCTGCCACTAAACTACTCTGAAAGGAGGTAACTTTTGGAGGAAAAATACGAAATAAAGACTAGGTCCTACATTGTTTTGGGGTGACAAAAGTGAAGGAGGTAACTTTTTAAAATGCAGCAGCAAAAGAAAGAGACCATTGAAAAGTCATCGGTATTCATTTATTCTGTCAGCAATCACTTATTGACAACTGTGCACCAGGCGTTTGGGCTTTGGTGAAAACAACACAAAAATCCCCACCCTTTTCAAATGTGAAATTGTTGTAGGGTTACCAGAGTCGGGAGCGGGCAAGTGTGGTGGTGTGGTGGTGTGGTGGTGCATGCCAGCACTTCCAACATCAGCTGGTGGAGGCAGCAGCAGGGTCAGGAGTTCAAGGTCAGCTTCAGCTATGTAGTGTGAGACTCAGCTTGAACTACATGAGAACCTGTCTCAAAACAACCAAAAATGTTAGCAGTATGTACGTATGCATGTATGTATGCATGTATATATGTATACGTATGTATGCCACTGCTCCTCTACTCAAAGTAAAGAGAAAACATTCTTCTCAAAAACAAAATCCTGCTGAGCCCAAAGGACAGTTTGTCCCTCTGTCTAAATCCTCCATCTTGGGTCAGGATGGAAGAGCATTTGTCTTTTCTCCTTGGGCTTTGACCCCAGCTGCCAACCTGGGGGTAGCCACAGGCTGGACTTCCCCTGCACACAAAGAAACCCTGCCTCAGCTCCGTTTCTGTCAGGGACTCTTCTTCCTTCCTTCCCTCTACTCTGCCCTTGCTTTCAGCAGGCCTGAGGTCCACACTGAGCCCTTCCCCTCCCACCACACGCCATGCACCGCAGCTGCTCCCTGGAAGGCATCCTCACCACCCCTGTCCACGACGGGATCCCGGGTAAGACTTCCCGCCTCCTCCCCATGCTCTTGAAGTTGGCCTGGGCAGGGCCTGAGGACAGCAGGTGACCCTCACACTCCCCTACCCCAGGTCTGGCCTTCCCCGACTGGGCCTACAAAACGGAGTCGTCGCCGGGCTCCCGGCAGATCCAGCTGTGGCACTTCATCCTGGAGCTGCTGCAGAAGGACGAGTTCCGCCATGTCATCGCCTGGCAGCAGGGAGAGTACGGGGAGTTTTTCATCAAGGATCCAGACGAAGTGGCTCGCCTCTGGGGCCGCAGGAAGTGCAAACCACAGATGAACTATGACAAGCTGAGCCGGGCCCTCAGGTGAGGAGAGGTGGCCAGCAGGACAAGCAGCAGAGTTCAAGGAAAAGGGCTGTGGCTCCTGGCACTCTTGGCTGCTTCCCACCGCGGCAGGGCTTGGGAAATGCCCTCGCTGTGGGAAGGTGGCTGGTGTCCTCCAGTACCTGCTGGGCTGATGGAGGAGACGCTGAGTCTCTTCCTTCCTCGATTCTCTAGGTATTACTACAATAAGAGGATCCTGCACAAGACCAAGGGCAAGAGGTTTACCTACAAGTTCAACTTCAGTAAGCTCACTGTAGCCAACTGTCCTCCATGGAAAGTGTGGGCACCCTCTACCCCTCACCTGCTGTTGGGGTCCGCTGCGTTGTGTCAGCCAGCCTTGGTGCCTGTGGCTGTGCGGAGTGAGGTACGCAGGAAGGCAGCCCCATCCTCAGAACTCTGACAGGATCTGTCCTTCTGTCCTGAAAGTCCCAGCCCATTCTCCATCTTAGCGACGTCCTGGTCTCCAGTGTTCTTCCTCTTCTAGTCTCTGAGCACTCTTTGTCAGCCATGCCCTCCTGTGAGGAAGGATGAGTCCTGTGCTAGGCATCATGTTTTAGTGGCATGTCAGAGGGAAGGATACAGAGTGCAGGGGAGGGTCCAAGGCATCTGAGAGAGCAGGCAAACCACAGCAGCCACTGGCTGCTCAAGAATCAGTATGAGAACATTTTGTCATATTGACAACTGGGTGACAGTTCTGGTGTGTCTTAAAAGACTGGATATCAGCGAGAGCATGTCTCACCCCAGCCTCCCTTCTCCTCCCTCTTTAGCCTCTGCATAGCATGCTGTATACCCAGTGGGCCACAGAAACGCAGCTGACTGGAGAGAGGGCCTCATGGGAGTCACTGGTAACCTCTGGGGAGGAGAACAGTTGCTTTGATGGTGAGTGCTGAGGACCAAATTGGTGGCGATCTTAAACAAAGGAGGAGAGCCTCCCCGGGCCTACCTGGCCGAGCATATGCCCAAGCAGGCATGGGACAAGAGATCTTATTCATTCAAATGTTTAGTGATTCTGCTTACTGGGAAGGGGCTGAAACATGAAAGATGGGCGGTTAGAAACACGGAGTCTGGGAGGAAGAACAGATGAGGGGACTGCTAGTTCATACAGGTGCCAGGAGGGCACAGAGAGGACTCTGGGAGAGGAGAGGAGGGCACAGGGAGGACTCTGGGAGAGGGGAGGAGGGGAGGAGGGCACAGAGAGGACTCTGGGAGAGGGGAGGAGAGCACAGGTGCCCTGGCATAGGAAGGGGGGAGCTGTGAGCGTGTGTGGCACATCTGGGAGGGTGCTGCTGTCAGTGTAACATCAAGGAAGGTTGGAAGACAAAGGAGGTGTGGGAGGTAGATGCCAGGCCAGCAGCTACCCAAGCCCAGAAGGCCGCAGAAACCATTTGAAGAGGGCTGGACTTCCTCCTTTGAGCAGAGGGTCCAGGAAAAAGAGCTACATTTAGATTTTCATCTTATTTATTTGGTTTTGTGGTACAGGTGATGGATCTTTATATGCTCATGGAGCATATAAACCAACTGAGCTGCGTCCCTAGTCCTTAGATTTCATTTTATAAGTTATAGGATTTCTAGACCTTAGGGTGCAATATGGAGGCGATATGTATTCTGTGACGGAAAACGTATCTAGAATTTCGAAGTTTGACCTTTCCACTGGCTATCAATAGGAGGAGCAGGGAGCTGCCTGCCATTCCAGTCATCACATATCACGACAGTAAACAGCACACTGCTTAACTGACTCATTCTGTAGGTTGTGTACACCCAGAACACTCTTGACCTGTATTATTTCCAACTCACAGTGGATTTATCTGCCTGTAACCCTGTCATAAATCATTGCACATCTGTATGTGGGATGAGTGTGGCCAGAATTAGAGGAGGAACCAGGCTGTCATTGGAAGGCTTCTAATTTCGTTTTTGTTATCTTTAAAGTATGTGTAGGGGAGTGTGTCTGCATGTGAGTGTGTGCACATGAGTGCAGGTGCCCCCAAGAGACCAGAGGCATTGAATACCCTGGCGCTAAAATTATAGGCTGTTGTGAGCCCTCTGACATGGGTGCTAGGAGCAGGCCTCAGGTCCTCTGGAAGAACAGAACCCCTCTTAAGCACTGAGCCAGCTCTCTAGCCTCTGTTGGGAATGTTGTTGTTTTGAGACAATCTAAGAAGGAGGCTATAGTGTCGTGGGGCGAAAAAGGAACCTCGGCTGACTAGAGGCAGACAGACAAAGCTCGTATTATCCTTTCTTCTCTCATCAGATGTTTAACTGCCTCCTGTTTAATGCCTGGGTCTGAAGTTCAGATGTGAGCAATGCTGCTTTCCTAGGCTCTTAGTCAAGAGGCCGAAAGGCCGTCACCAATGGATACACAATCATAATTGTTGCATGACACAAAGGGGACACTGAGGGACAGCAGGGAAGACTTCCTCCTCAAAGTGACTGAGCAGACATCCGGTGTGCACACGGGCTCAGCTGAGCTTATGGAAGAAAGGAGACCAAGAGCTTAAAAGCCTGGGACAGGAAGAGGGACTGGGAACAGGCTAGTAGTGACATTCATGATGGAGTGAGGGAGAGGAGGACATAATAGACGCCAGTGACTCTCTGAGCAACCAGGACAGTCTGCCTTTGGAAAGATCCAACCCAGGGGTCTCCTGCAGACCACCCACCCAAAGTGCGGGTCATGGAGCAGGCCATGGGTGAGGGGTGGTAGGGCCATGGGTCTGGAATCCTAGAGCTACCCAGCACATGAGGGGCTTCTATGTTCCTCCACCCCACCGCTCTCCAGATTGCTGAAGACATGGAGCTTACCCCTGGGGGAAACTATTAGCCCCCACTTTTGTACATTCCTGCCTTCCACACAGACACAGACACACACACACACACACACACACACACACACACACACGTGTACACATACTTTCCCTGGGCTAGGGCCCAGAAGGGCATGAAGGCATGAAGGTTTTAGGTCAGTGGAGGGCTGGTAGCAGTCATGTGCCTTGCTTCTGGGCTGGAATTCCACTGCCTGCCCCACACTCACTCAGATCATGTGGTGCCAAGAGAGGAACCCGCTGTTGGACAGGCGAGCCCAGGGACACTCAGCCAGATTCAGGAAATGGGAAGACTCCAAGATATCTCCTCCATATGCCTACTCAGCTACAGTGTGGACAATGCCCTGAAGCCAGGAGCTTCTGGGGTCCCAACCTATCTGTGGGACAACAGTCCTTACCACATCTGAGGGCCCAAAGGGAAAGACACTGGCCTACAGAGAGAGAACGCCCTGGAAGGAGTCTGCATATATTCTCATGGAGAATCATCTGACTGTTTCAATCCCTCATGAATCTGGCTTGAGAAATATTCCTAGCTAACAACTGGCTATATTATGTAATACCTGGTCGGCTTTCCCAGATTTTATTCACTATATCACACCCATGTGACCCCATTAGTCTCTTAGTTAAATGATGTGGCCTTGCTTAAAAAAAAGTAGCAACTCTGTCTAGCCTTTTCTAGGAACCCCAGCCTGGGTAGCCCCTGTGGGGCCTGGCAGGTTGGGAGGGGAAATAAAGTGGATTAGGAGGAAACGGAAGGAGGAGGCATTTCAGAAGAGGAGAGCTACGGGTCTAGTGTCAGACAGAAGGAGGAGGCTGTGGATCCCACACATGGCCCTCGGCCTCACAGTCATGAGCTTCACGGGCCCCTTGTTACACGTAATCTTAGCAGATGTCAGGTTGATATTAACTAAGAGCGAGGGCTTTATGGACGGGAAGGCAGAGGCCGTCATGTTTAGGTGACAAGGGTTTGATCCCACAACCAGTTCTTTACCCAGCTAAAGTCTGGAGTCTTGGAGTGGGGCTGGCTGGAGTAGAGATGGAGTCCCTGGGTTAGCACACACACCATTCATTCAGTCTCTCCACACGTTTTTACTGAGGGCTTGACCTGTACCAGATTAAGTCTGGACTGGATACAGGGGGAGATACAGCCAATAGCAGTTCCTGCTCCAGCAATGCTAGGGACACCAGCATTAAAGTAATAGACACATACCTAACTACATGATTTCCAACAGAGCCTGCCCCACAGGGCTGGCAGTCTCAGGAAGTTCCATCTAGGAGGAGTGTGACAACCAAACAGGAACAAAAGGGAGGGAGATGAGTCGTCCCTGTCCCCCCGTTCCCCGCCCCGTCCCCGGTCCCCGCCCCCGTCCCCTCACCCCCCAGGGGAGGGAGGACTGGTGGGAGAAGACGACTCTGAAGCAGGAAGGAAAACTGAAGCTGGAGCACCACTGGGGGAGCACTTTACTAACAGGCCTGGAGCACCACTGGGGAGGACTTTGCTAACAGGCCTGGAGCACCACTGGGGGAGGACTTTACTAACAGGCCTGGAGCACCACTGGGGGAGGACTTTACTAACAGGCCTGGAGCACCACTGGGGGAGGACTTTGCTAACAGGCCTGGAGCATCACTGGGGGAGCACTTTGCTAACAAGCCTGGAGCACCACTGGGGGAGCACTTTGCTAACAGGCCTGGAGCACTACTGGGGGAGGACTTTGCTAACAGGCCTGGAGCACTACTGGGGGAGGACTTTGCTAACAGGCCTGGAGCACCACTAGGGGAGGCTTTGCTAACAGGCCTGGAGCACCACTGGGGGAGCACTTTGCTAACAGGCCTGGAGCACCACTGGGGGAACGCTTTGCTAACAGGCTGGAAGCCCTCGGTTTGTGGTGCTGGCAGCCTCGGGAGATGGGGTAGGCTGATCAGGAGTTCAAGGCCATCTTCAGCTACGTAGCAAATCCAAGGCCAGCCTAGCTGGAGAGTCTGTCTGTCAGAGGGAAAGGGAGGGGTGGAGAAGGGAGGAGAAAAGAAGGGGAAGGGAGGGGAGAGAAATGGAGAGGGGAGGAGGAGGGAGGAGGCCGAGGAGCATCTGGGGAGGGGTGCCCCGTGACCCTTCCCCTTTCTCTCTCCAGGTTTTGGCTCAGCCCTGGGCCCCGGCTGGCAAGGCTCTTGCTGCTGCCTGCTGAACCTCCAAGGTGACCGTCCCAGATTTGCTTCCTTCTTTCCCCGCCTCCGCTGTAACTGGTCCCACCTCTCAGGGCCTATCTTGCCTCCTTTCTCCTCAGATCGGCCACTTTCGGGGTCCTCCAAGCCCGGTCCTCGGCTCCCAGGCCCACTGTGTCTGCCAGGTGCCTGGCCTTTTCCAGGGCTCCCCCTGCTGGCCAGGCTGAGACAGGGCACTAGTGAGAGCTTTCAGTTTCTCAGGCCTGAGGAATTGGTGGTAAATCTAGGGTCAAAGGGACACCTGGGTTCCAACAAGTGACTCTGCTCAGAGATTCAGGGACTCAGACTTGGGAAAGGAACTCCCATGTCCCCCAATGCAGAGAACCTCAGAGCCACGTGGCCCTTGGATCCCCCTTAATAGGAG